AGAACAATAAACACTAGCTGTGCTCTTTACCTCTAAGCACTGAATCCATAGCTCTTAATCCTTGCTAGTCTGTTGTGTTCCCTTACATGCCAATACTGATCACTATTGATTTAAACAGTTAACATTTGTAATTAACCAGATCATGTGAAAGAATTAGCAAACTGCTGCAGCCCTCAGGAATTTTATTAACAGTACAATAGCCACAAAATAATAAATAAATTAACTCATCAAAAAAACCAAAATAACCTTTTCCCCCCTAGAAGTACCTATAGCTAACTCCACTGAACATAAGGACACTTTACACATCATAAGCACTTTGAAACAAATCTTTTTGTGGGAAGCCTAAGACATCTGTCTAAGGGCCACTACATTCCACATATACTATTGCTATCACAATATACAACTGATAATCGTCCGTCTACCAAAAGCAATTCTTTACTGTTAATCACCAATTCTAAAAATTCTATTATCAAAAGTGTAAGATTGTTTTAAGTAACTGCTCACTATTACCTGACCAGATTAAGTCACCCCAGCAAAAGGAAATTTTGGAACAAGAATAAGACAAACAGAACTTCATATTTTTGTTAGCGACTTGGTTTCTTGAAATCAAAAAACAGGAATCTGCTCCATCGTCTCCAAAATAACTTGCTCAGGTATGATAAAAAGCAGAACACTATTAGTACATGATAGTTTCCATTTTCCTCCAGTTCTTTTTTACATTAATCCCATCTGCAATATTGTACTTCAATCATGGGCTAGGTAAAAGGATTTTGGTTTTATATAACATTTAGATCACCATCTAGGAGCAGAAGAAAACATATAGCTTGGATTACATCCATCCCCCCTAGAAGAACCAGATTTCTGGGTGGTGGGGGCAGGAAAACTTTGGGAAATAACAGGGAAGAAAATAAAGTAAGGCAATACTTCATCTTGCCTTATTTATGTTAGTTCCTTTCTCATGAGTTTCAATTGACATGTAATCATTGTTTTATCTTCAGCTGCAAAAAAAAATTACTACCGAGTCAGTCAAATATTTAATAACCATGTTTTAAAAAGTATTTTCAGCTTGCATAATACCTTAATTCATATTTGACTAGTGATTTTTCCATTTGCTTGACATTTCTCTGTTCACTCTTCTCAGCCCAGATACATCACACACTTGTTTAAATGAAGCATATAAAGCCAAGTGGCTCCAAATACTAGTCCTTTTTTCCCCCTTTTTGGCCATCTAGTCCCAAGACACCAAGTTCCTTTGTAGCACAACTCAGCACTGGCGTGGGCCAAGTTAAAATCACCCCAAGATGCTTTCTAGATTAAGTGCACAGGTTGCTACAAAGCAATTTTAATTGCCATAAAAGGCACAAAACTCTTGAGTATATATCCAGGTTTAGCACAATGACACATCAAAAGGAAATGTCACATCAAAAAGCACCAAATGATAGTCAGCCTTCTGGCACACTAATCAAAGCAATCATTTAACACTTCATATACCAGTGCAGGAACTGAAAAGAAACTGAAGCTCTCAGCAGTACCAGCATGCAGTATTCAAATTGCCAGTTATTCAGTTTTAAGGCTGCGATTGCCACAAAGATAAGCAACTCGTAGAACACAAGCAGCTTGGGGCTCTCAGCATTTTAGGAGTCCTCTTTGCAATTAGGTAGATGTTTGCACCTAGATCACCTATACTGATGCAACTAGAGCTGGCCTTAGAGCAGTTAACATTTGACTTCACTTGCAGCCACTTTTTTCAAGGCTGTCTGTGCCAAGATCTCTTCTTGCACCATCCTACTACTGCCAATACATCAACGGAATGCCACGTTGATCAGATAAAGGAGATCAACATGGAAATAATTCTGAGGATTATTATTTGCATTACAAAAAAAAAAGCCCAGGCATTTGGTAACAGATACATGGTATACAAAGAAAGGAAAGAATACATTTTCTCTGGAGGATCCAAACTTTCCGTTTTTGCAAATCAGGTTAGAATGATTAGATTTGTTTTTGGCTGCCAAACTCCTCAAATACCAAGATACACTGGTGCCAGAACTTTCTTTGTTCCCAGAGATGTGCTTTTGCATAGACTCAGAGACAGAGTGCAACAGACTATCCTGTTGGCATATATACCACTTCCTACAAATTTGGTGCTAAGGGGGAAAGGCAGACTTAAATTCACACTCCTATGACTCCAAACACCTCAGAGTTTTGTTGCTGGGCTTTACCTAGAAGAAAGTCTTTCAAGTAAATAAAGTGCAGCATCACACCTTTCTCATCCCAGGCTTCACTGCTGAAAAGTGCTCACTCTTGCAAAAGTTTCTTCCAGGACCTAGCCTAAGACAAAATACTGCACAAGAGCATTGGCTGGGGCTGCCATTAAGATGATGCAGGCTTCTTTTGTGCAAGACATGGTAAAAAACAGTTACCCCTTGAAGCTCCATGTTATCAGCGCATATCTTTGCTGTCAGCTCCTAAGCTTTTGCCCCTATAATGGAGTCGTTGCTTGGACTCACATTACTACATAACCCATTTCTGAGATGAAGATGGCTAAAATCTTCTGCCTCAACAGCTGCTTATTAATATTTTTTGTGTTTGAATTGGCCAAAGTTGGGTTCATTGTGTATTCAGTGTCATATTCTTTAAGGGTCTATTATTAATATAGAGATTTCATAACTGTCATGTTGGGCATTGCTTCCCTTTTTTTTTTTTTTTAAACGCTGCCTGATGTAGTGCATTATTGCTGTCATGAATAGCAACACTTAAACACCATGTAAATCATCATGTACTTTACAAAGGGGGTCGGGGCAGCAGCATCCCCAGCTGAGGCACAGAGAGCTGAACTGGCTTGCTCAACATCACTCAGTAGGTGAGTGGCAGGCCAAGAACAGAATGCAGGCCTTCAAAGTTCTAGTCCACTACTTCACCTACTAGATCAAGCTGCCTTCTCTCTTTCTTGCTCTCACTCACTCACCTCGCACAGGTACTTCTTGTTGTCATCTCCAACAGTGTGAATCCTATGAAAAAAATTACCTCCAATGACAGAAAATTAAAAAAAAAACCTCACTGGATTCACTCATCTGCTCAACACTCTGCAGTATCTTTTGTAAGCTTTCTTATCCATGCCAAAACAGTTATAACTGATTCTATTTTAGTGATATCTGTTCCTTTCTATGCATCAGGAAAGAGACTGGAAGATATTAAGGCAGTTCAGGTCACAGAACCAACTCCTTTACACAGCTGGCTAAAAATGAGGGAGTTTGCAACCTGTCTCATGTTGGGTGCACAAAACTCAGGAATGAGAATCTTTTAAAAAGTATCACAAGAATTTTCCTTTTTACCGTGTATAGACAGAAACAGTATTTTCTTTTATACCAGTTTCCTTAAATCGGCTTTAGTTTCCTCATACTTGGTTAATGAAATGTAAACATGATCCCATAATCAACGTGATTTGAAGCGCATGTATGTTAAAACCTAAATCAGCCCTGTTTGTTTATTTATTTGCTAAAACACCACGCTGCCAAGAATGTTACTGCCGAGTCATTCTTGATGTTCACCTCAGCATGCCAACAGAATACTCTTAGACCAAAATAAATACAGGCTGCTACCTATTTAATAGATCACCAAGATCTTTCAAGTTAGCAATCCTCCACTGCTCAATTCTTTCCTGTCTGACTGAGCCAGAACCATAATAGGCACCTAGGCACAGAAAAAGGAGTAATACTTTAGAAGTATAGCAACATCTTTGAACTTTAGAATGAAGAAAGGTAACAGCAACTTGATTAAAAGTATAATGTAAAAAGCTTAAGCCATTTATTTGTTTGCAGGACACTAGATTACACTAACATAAAACACAGAGAACAATGCAATAGCATCCCACAGAATCAAAGCAATAACCCAACACACACAGAGAAAATGAGTAAAGAGGTGAATGAGTTCATCCAAAATAAGGACCCCATATCCGCTAAGAATCAGGTATGTTCTGAGATCCTAAAATACCAGATACTAAACGAAATTGGGGTGGGGGAGACGGGGGACATGACAACACACAGTCACTATTTAGGACCAAAACCCTGAAATACCAGATTACTTCTTTGACTTCTGGGTATTTGCCATCATCTATACTAGGGTTTGTTTTTACAAGGAAGGCTACTTTAACAGAGCTTAGCTGTGTGGACCAGCTGCCCTGCTGCCCTGTAGCCCAAGCCTGCCCCCCACCAACCACTGACATGCTGCCAAAGTTCCCCAGCTCCAAAAGTCAAATAAAATGGCTCCACAGGCCAAATTTGGCCCATGAGCCATAGGTTGACGATCCTTAGTCTACATCCCCACTTAGTGATAAAAAATTCAGGGTGACAGTTAGTTTCAATAAACCTGGTATACTCCTCTCAACTGTCAGAACCTCTAAGAGGACTCACCCAAAGGTGCAGAGCCCTGCAACTCCATTAATATACGCATGTGACAGACTCGATTAAATGAACAACCACATCACTCTTTGACCTCAGACATGTTCAGAGGATCAAGTGACAGATCTGCTTCCAACAGCCATTTTCTGGAGATGATTAGCTGACACTTGCTACTGGAAATATTGGAAGCGTCGTCCTGTTACTCTACAAAAACCTGCAAAAATGCACCATCTAACATGTCACAAATATCCCAAACAATCCCTGGCAAAAGGAGCTTTACTTTTTATTTTGATTAGAATGCTTCTCTTTCTCATATACATACTACCGTGATTCCTCCATTTCTTTAATTCATTGTCTAGTCTGCAGGAGGGTTGGCTGCCAGAACGGAAGTCCAGAAGTGATGAGCATACTGCATAAAAATGGGTTGGTTGGCAGTCTACAGTATGCTGATCACTTCCAGTCTGCAGTGTGCTGGTCCACAGTTTGCCAGTCTACAGTCACTTCCAGTCTGTGGTTTGCCAGTCCGTGGTCTAAAAAGGTTGGGAACCACTGATCTAGAGAGAACACTAATTTGAGAAAGTGAAATTATTTCTATTGACCAACCTTTTCCCCCAAGTTCCTCAGCAAAGTATGGGTCATTTAAATCAACGTCGGAGGGAAGTTCCTCTCCACTCAGCTCCTCAGCAGCAGCCTATAACAGAAAGCAAGCATCATATTATTTCTAACAGATTAGATCATTTCTAATACACTAATGCAGAAGTTTCACGTGTATTAAATATTATTTTTACTATAAACAAATTTACAGCTTTGAATTGAATGCCACAGAACAAATTATAAATCTGTGAGCTAAGAGATGTAAATAAAATATTCTAAATCTGTTAAACACATGAAACTACAAAGCTAACTATCCACACAGAGAAAGCTGTCTGTTGAGTCCCCTGAATAGATAAGTGTGTAGAATAAACATTTCTACAAGTTTGCTTTTTCATATCCATGCTTGTTATTTTTCAAGTTAATAACTCAGGAACATCAGCAAAAAGCGTAAAATCACAGACCTCTGCCTAAACATGTCATAGTAGGTTTGTATTGCACATTCACAAACTAAACAAACAGTTGGGAATCCTATCTTTTTTAGAGAAGGAAGCTGTTACACATCAGTGCTGAAGGTCACTAGCAAAAAAGTGTAGGTCCTTGATTTTTTTTTGTTTTGTTTGTTTTTTTTAAACACACGTTTGTTCACATTTCCCTCCTCCCCCCTCCTCCTTTACATGCTGAGAAGCATCTCAGCATATAAAGTAACGTGTTCACCAAACCTATCAGGAGTCTTATAAAGTATGCTGATTCTATATAAACTGAAAACAATTAACTATTGTCCAAGTGATGCTATAGTACATCAATGGCAACAATTAACTGACATTCTCTACAACAATCCTCCTTAGAAAAAAAGTTTCAGTAAACAGCCTTAGCCAGGAGTGGGCAAAATGTGGCCCATGGAGCCCCTAAAAAATTTAGAAAGTTAATATTTATCTGCCCCTGGCTACCTGTCATGTGGCCCTTGATGGCTTGCCAAAACTCAGTAAGCTGCCTTCTACCCGAAATAAAAGCCCATCCCTGCCTTAGACTGTTCCCTGAAGTCCACCAAATGTACATTGGGACTTACAAGGGAAACATATTTTGGTCTTTTCTCTTAGAAGATCTAGCCTTCCGTATGAGAACCATTACCACGCCTTATTTTAGCAAGAATAAATGAGTGGCGTTAGCAAGAGTTGCTCTAGCATATAGTATTGCAATCTGTTCAACTGAAGCCACTCAGCTTTCTGAATTGATTATAAGTCAATGCCCAAATACCAGTTGAAACTTCTAGAAAACAGGTTGAATGTCTTAATAAAGTTGCAGAAATTGCTGTAATTAATAGTAGCTTGTTAACTGATCCTAGTTCAGGATGAAGAAGGAAAGTGTCAAGAATGTTAGACAGCAACTAGGTTCCCCCTACATAAATAGTACTGTCTAGTGAATCTCTCTTCCTACATCTGTGAACTGGTATTGTATAAGACAATCTACTGACAAAACCCTACTTTACATGGAAAAATGAAGCAGCAGCTGAGTAGAAAGACAAGTGGTATGAAAGTAATTCCATTCTCATTCATACTCAGCAATATCCCCCAAATGCAAACATCCAGTTGATCTTGAGCAATTTCTCAATGCCATGTGAAATGCATGTTTCTAGGAGGCAGAAATCTGTTTATCATTTAAGACTGAACAAACAACTATCATCCTAATCACAAGCCTTGCTGTCTGATCATCATATCCAAGTAATAAAAATGACTGCCCTTCAAACATTCCAGAATATAACAAAATGCCAAGATCAAAAGGGTAGTTTTCTGGGTAGACTCACACGTTTATTTTTCTTTAATCACACAAATGCATAATGATATTTACTTTGGCTCCCAAACAAATATGAAAAGGCATACAAGCTAGCATTACTATGAATATCCTGCTAATTCTTTAGATCTGCCAAGGTATTAGTTATCAGCAATGTCTCTCAGTGAAGGCATACCTGATTAGTCTGAAAGCTGCAAAATACTTAACACTTAAAGGAAGACAAAAAAAGTATACTTATGGCTTTTAATTACAAATTTAGAAGCACATTACCCTTCTTTTTTTCTTTTCTTTTCTTTTCTCTCTCTTCTTTTCTAAAAACTGTTCCCATGGAGTTAGTTTATCCTTTCCTTCTAGCTTTTTTTTTACCATCTCTTCAGCTGTTTCTTTAAGTCCTGTGGCAAAAGTAAGTTAATCAATTATGCAGTTGATCAACCAATCAGTCAGTCATTTAAATCTTCTCACAAGCTGTTAGCTCCCCTTAATAAATGCACCACTGTTTAGCTTCTTTCAATTCTCAAATGCCTTCTTTTCTTGACAAAGAACTACAGTCTTTAAAATATTGTTATATGGGAGAACAGTTTTTATATTGTTTCTTTACAGAACGAAGTGTCAAATCACAATTAAAAAGTACAGAGAAACCCCAACACTGGAGCCAACTCAAGAAGCTGTTCTGTAAAATTAACAGACTACAATAATTATTCATTAAATCAAACGACACGAAAGAACTTAAATTTGTTCAGTTTTCTATTTCAAATGACCTCTAATTCTATGAAGTCAAAAACGTTAACACAAGTGAAGTGATATCGTTAAAATAAAGAAAAACACACTGTGATATAAATAAGGTTAAGCATTTTTCAAGTTTTGAACTCGGATGAAAAAGCACAGGCTCACTAGATTCATGTTTCTTCTACTATAATTTTAAAAGTTTTTGTACAGAAAATGTCATGGCATGTATTCTTTATTCAATAAAAAACTATAATTAGATGGATATGGGTAACATGAAGAAAAATTATTTTGAGCCACAGAGGGTTAACAGTATTATCTTCTGAAAACAGATGTCGTTTAATTATTCTGAAGTACTGAATATGCACAAGTATGCATAGCCTTCTTATTAGTGACATCCTTTGGTTTTGCAAATATACTGTAGCTTTCTCTAAGAAACGGCCAGATTTTAATTCATAAAACTATTTTTTAAACAAACAGATTGATATCTAACTGTTGGATAGAGAAAGATATTTAAAATTAAGAAACAGTAGGCTTCCGGTATGTCAGGAAAGCCAAATTCAAAGGCAATTACATTATTTTTTAAACAGTATTTGTCAATAGAGGGTAGTGATTATATAACTGGCTTGGAAGAGAACAGCCCCAGAACGATTACAAAATTATTAAGTGCCTGAAAGGAGTATATTCTGTTTTTGTTTCGGTACAAATTCAAGTTGACTTACTGGAAACCAAAAGTGAAACAAAGGAAATGAACTATCCTCTTATTTCTTTAAATCACCGATTCTCTCTCTCTCTTTTTTTTTTTTTTTTTTTTTTTTTTTTTTTTTAATTCAAGGTACCCCTCTATAGTCTCAATGCATCCAGCCCGCCCTCCCCCCCCACCCCCTTACAAAATGTCAGCTCTTAGTTTGTATTTTTTTCTTAACTACAGACAAATAGAGCAATTCTGTTGCAAAGCACTGGGAAAAACTACAGTAGGTCAGAATTTAACATTCGGGATTCCTATTCAAAATCTCTGGGTTTCTCTTTTAAATCATGTTCGTGTACGTTACAAATGCTAACATTGCATGACACCCTGTGGCACCCCTGAAATGACCTCAAGGCACCTAACAGTGCCATGGTATGCTGGTTGAAAATCACCACTTTAGATTTATGAAGATGTCTAAAGTATTTGATTTAGCAGCAACACAAAATGAACTATCCACAGACAAAGTCCTCTCCCCCTACACTTCCTGGGTAGCTGTAATTATGGGAGTTACAGCTTTGCCTCTCTGGTGAAACCAGGTCTGCAAACCTGGAAAAACCCTCAACGTAGTACTTCCTGAGAAGTCAATATTTGGGAGAGGTCTGATACCAGATGAATCAATTTGTTAAATAAAGTTTCCTCTTTTCTTTCACAGGAGTTATGGCAGTTTCATAAGCTCCCAGGAAAGTATACACCACAGAACTGCAATTTACCTGCTCCAAAATATTTTAGTTGATAATAAGCTTAAATAGCTCAAGAATAAAACTGCTGACTCTCACTTCGGCTCCTGGCTGACATTATGATTTAGGTGCAATTACCCTGTTAACAGTGCCATGAAAACTTGAAGAGTACTCCTGCCACAAGTTCAGGCAATTAATGGCTTGACAAAACAAGTCCCCAGCCACAAAAGTGGGCCACAAAGGTAAATAACATTTTTGTGGCTGGTTTCCATTGCATCTTAAATTGGCAGGGTAGCCCTGCCATGTGGGCTGATGCTGGCTTCATGGCAGGGCTTGCTTGACAGCTCCCCCATGTCAGCAGGCTGAGAGTTTTGTGGTGAATCCCTGCATCCTGCTGTATTCAGATCCTGAGCTGAGGGGAGCTCATCAGCTGGGCTGGGATGCACACACGGGAACTTTGTGGCTGACAGGGATAGTAATGTGTTCTCCAGCAGTGCATCGCTTTTTGTCTTTCAGAAACCTCCCCGTTTCATCTTTTGTACACCTTTTAACTTCTGCAACATATACATATAAAGAAGTCTCCTTGACCACATATCCCTGAATGACCCACAAGGCAGGTGGGAAAACACTGTTTGCAGCCATGTTCTCCGTTTCTCCCCTGATCAGTTACAACAGAGGTGTCAAAATATATGGTGTGCGGACAGGAGCTAGCCTGTGGGACTGCTTAGGTGACGCCTGCCAGAGAATCCAGGACCCTTGGGCCCTGGTGGACGTTGGAACATAAAAGGGGGTGAGCTGTGCTTTAATAATTAGTTAGCTATTTTGAGCATCTCTGAAGACAGAATCTTGTAACTTATTTGTAACCCCTGTTAGTAAGCAAGACACAAGGGGACGTGGTTTCACAACTCAGACTTTAAAGGAAACAGTCTGGGACAGCACCGTGCAGGGGGCACGTAAGCAAGTGAAATGACTGGACGCCAGTATGGTACAGCGAGCAACTGCAAAAGTTGCCAGGAAACCATGCATACATTTGTAGAACTTAAACTGAATTTTGAAATGTGATTGGCTCATTCAAAGGTGATTAGTTCACTCTCAACACCATAGCAACCCACCTTCAATGAAATATAAGAAGCTTAAGCTTCAGAAGCAAGTTGGAATCATCAGAAATTCACCTCACAGCACTCAATCCCCAAGATATACTAGACGCCTGGTCAGCAGACCCTGGGAATCCTAGCACTGAAGTCTTCCTATCCTACTTGCAGCTGCATTTGCGTGGCATGTGACATTGCTTATTGGGCAAGTTTGTAGTTCGTTAATAAAATCAAGCCAATTACTGGAATGGTTCCTTGATCTTAAACACTACTCCACCTACCAATCCCAAAGTTATTTCTGCTATCCCTAACAGACATGGCCATTGGCAGCAGGTTGCCCCAGACACCTTGTTTACCCTCTGGCCGCTTGACCTATCGCCGTTGCTGGACCCAGCTCCTCAACCACTGGCCCTGTCAAGGCCCCATGCTGCAGCTGCCACGGGACACGTGGAGGGAGCCACCGTTGCACCTCAAACCTTGTACCAGAGACACAGCTGGCACTGCAGCCATGTCTCAAGTCAAAGCCAAAGTAACTACAGCTGTATGCCCCAGGTGGGATCTAGCCAGAAAGCAGCACCAGGACATAAGATGAGTCTGATACCCCTGAGTTATACAATCAAATTCTAGGTATGCAGACAGGACCTAGAAGTGGTCTATACCATGGCCTATAATCAGGACAATAGAAAAATTATCAAAAAATCCCCCTCAAAATTCCCCCAACATAAAAAGTTATTTCTTGCACAATGAAGCCAGAACTAATAGAAACAGCCAGCATACATCCAGCTAGCCCAACAAGCAGGATAATAACAGTGAAAAGTTAGGAAAAATAAGAGAGATGTTACCACAGAACAATAAAAATGTGACCACTGAACTGTTCCTTCATATAAACAGAATATATGTTGAATTGTTTTCAATCGTACAGGTTATCCAGAAAGCATTGACAATAGACTCATCTGTTGTCCAGAAATTGTATCCAAAATAACAGCAACTGAACTCAGTAATACTTGGATAAGGAATTCAGATGGTCAGGTGGTAAATTTGCAGATTCTCTCTGAAGAGGGCTGATACTGAAATAGAGACACGTCACTTCTTCAACAGAATGAAGCTCAACTGAGGGTACTGGACTTCAGATTTATCTGCCTGGAAAATGGAATTATTTGATCCATCTGGCAAAGTAAGACTTGGAGGAAAGCATAGCCCTTTCATGAGACTGCCAATACCACAAGAAAGGCATTAGACTTTCTCCATCAATTAGAATGGCTCAGAAACTACTGTCCAGACCACTTCCTTAAAATAAAAATGTATTTAAGTGGTCAAAAGGCTTATGACTGCAGAAGGAAAAAAAAGTAACCGTCTATTTCAGGTAGATTTATTATAAGCTTACCAAAGTTGAGGGCTGATTTGCAGACCACTTTACCAGGCAGCAATCTGTTGGGGGCTCATCAGTTGGAAGCATAAGAGTAAAAGAAGGACCTGTACAAACTAGTTGATCACGGATGACTATAAGCTAATGTGATGAATAGACAAATATGATCCAAGATGAGGTGAGACCTCATTGGGAACAATATGTCCAAATCTGGTTCCTCATTCAAGCATGTGAACTGTGTAGAAAAGGGCTATTAGAATGACCAGGAGAATATTGTAATGAGAAGAAACACAGTTGTAGATGAGAAGACTTAAAAACAAAAAAAAACAAAAAACAAAAAAAACGAACATGGCTCACTTAACCTAAAATAAAAGATATGATTGGGGAGTTTCATAAAAGTTTGATTGGGCTGACTTGCAGGCTGGTTTTGCTCCCTTTGCTCCTCAGTCAGTCCTCTATACACAAACACAATCTTTGTATTTAAATAAAAAAGCAAGCAAATAAAATGGTCAGCCCTTCTCTGGGTGATAGCAGAAGCTTTTTAGCTCTGGCAGTGTACTGTCTAGTAGTCCTGGTAGCGAGCTTACCTGGATTCCAGCCTGCCTCCTAACCACAAGCTGCTCCTTCCCCCAGCTTGCCACTCTCTGTTCTCTACCTTGGGGTTTTTAACTGCTAGTGGGATATGCCCCCTCATTAGATAACAACCTGCTGTGGGTTCAGTCTACAACAAGGCTGTCTACTCCCTCTTAAGCTGCATACAGGCACTCATTTCTACTGGAAATGAGAAATCCTTCCAGGAGAGGAAGCAGTACAAACATTCAGTCTGCAGCCACTCCCTCTTGCCTACTCTCCATGCCTTCCCAAATCTAGGATATAATCCTGATCTGGGGAAGGCAAAGGGAGCAGTGCCTGCTCCACCTCTCCTAATCCTCGGGGAGAGTGGAGCAGCAAGGAAAGACTCCCTGCATCTGCCCCAGATCAAGTTCAGGGGAACAGGACTGAGAAGCAGCTGCCTCCACTTCATGCTCAGTCTATGGGAGCGGAGAGAAACTGCTGCAAAGCAGGGCAGTGTCTAGCTTGCAGAAGAGGCAGGGAGCAGCAGCTCTTCTCCTCTCCTGAACCAGTCTGAGAGGAAAAGAAATAGTGAGGCATAGCCCCCAGCTCCTTCCCCAAGCTGGGTACTTTCCTGGCTTGGATAAGGGGCTAGAGGAGGAAGGAAATGGGAAGGAGGAGGAACTAGGAAACAGTGACACTCCCTGAACTCGGCTTCTGCAAGCCAAGCAGAGGAAGAAATGGGGTAAAGCCCCTGCCCACTTTTAAAGAGCAGGGTAGCCCTCATCTCAGGAAGGTATAGGAGCCTTTTCCCCTTCACCTGGTCTCCTGGTCCTGGAGACAGGGGAAAGTATCCAGACATTCAGTCTCCTGGGAACAACTTAACCCTGATTGTTCCAGGGTTACTTTTCTCCCAGAGCAGCCATTTTTGCTTCACGAGACAAAAAAACTGATTGTCTGTACACTTCTGGTTTCTACCAGGAGAAGAGTGATTCTCCATGTAGAAACTGAACTTCTGTTCTATGTAGCCTTAAGGGGACAAACCAACCTGTTACAGGGAAGAAAATACCAGAAAGGGAAAAGAACCAATTAAAATAAAGGACAATGTTGGCACAAGAAAAGACCAATATAAACTGACCATGAATACATTTCGTCTGGAAATGAAAAGATTTCTAATCATTAGATCAGTGAGATTCTGGAACAGCCTTCAACAGGAGTAGAAGGGGTAACATACAATTGGCTTTAAGATGGATCTTGAGCATTTTAGGAAAGGGAATATAGGCTGTAGTTGCTTATAAAATGGAAAACAGCTGGACTAGGCTCAGGAAGCCAGGGGGTCCCTTCCAGTTCTATATTCTATTATTTTTACCTAGAATAGGAACAAATTAAAATTTAAATTCACTTAACTCCAGTGTCCAACAACTAATTTCTCCCAAAGAATCAATGCCCCTAGTTACACATCTAATAACAACAACAACAACAAAAGGTATAAGGAATGAAGTTGTAATCTTGCACATTTATCATCTATGGGAATATTTAAAGAACTTGGAGAGCTGGCTAAAGCTGCTACAAAAAAGCAATTGAAATAAGTGTGGACTATCAGGAAACAGAGGAACAGACATTTAGAAACAATCATTTTGTACCTAAGGAAACAGCGCTAAGAAGCTTGAACTGCATCTAACAGATTTTTGCTGTTACTGAACTTATGTTAAAATGATTGTGAATGATTGTTATCCTTGAATCATTCATAAAGCATGCTTTCTATCATTGTGTGAAAATTTGTGCCAACATTTAAATTTTTTAATTACTTCAGAACTCAGACTTTCCATTTAAAAAAAAGTTTTCCTATGCTAGTTTCTTAATTTTCTTTTCATTTTAAACATCTGGTTATTAAAATCCTTTTGCAAATAGTCTCCCGTGGTACAGCAATGGGTTAGATAACTGCATGGTTTGGCAACAGAAATAAAAGAACAGACAAAACTCATTCCGAAAAGGTTAAGAAATTGTAAAAGATGACTAAAAAAAAATCTATTTTAAGGTTCACAAAAATTGTCAAAGCAAAAACAAATGCAAATCACTTTGGCATTTATTAAGAAAAAAGTTCTATCTGGTGTATCAACCTACTTCCCTCTGTTAAAAGAATCTGAGACCTGTGGTTTGAGTAAGCAGTCACAGATCTCCAGTTGGATACCTGAAGGCATTCCACCTGCATTGAACATGCTCTATTCTTAACTCTTATATGCAAAGAGACTGCGCACGTGCCCTTCACTAAAAAAATAAAATAAAATTGTTTAATTTCCAGGAAATGCAGCACTTTCCCAGTCATGCTCCTCTTAACAGCTACAGGGGGAAGGCTCTGCAGTGCCAAATACCAGAACAAAAGACAAGTGGACAGTAGCATCTCTTCTGCTTTCACTACCTATACCCCAGGCAATACAAGTGTGGCGGGAACAGGCTAACTTGCTCTCTTCAAGTCCATTCCTAACATCTGAGAAAGTAAGGATATTGCCAATGAAAGTTTATGCCTCTCTAAACAAGTTAGTCTAAAAGGTGCCACCCTGCCCTGCCTTCTGCCTAAAACAAGAGGGTGAAAGAGGAAGAACAAGGACAGGGGCCTAGAAGTGGGCACCAGAGCAGAGGGAACTAGAGACAGGAACCAGAAAACAGATGGATATGGAAGGATGCTAAGGCAGAAGGGTTTATAACCACTAAGAACTGAACAGCTTTGAGACTCACAGGCAAAGTGCGTTTCATTTCCTCTAGCAGCTGGTCCCCAAAGCAGATACAGGTTTCCCTTGCTTTATGAGGTTTCTGTATGTGAGAATTAGCTATTATGCGATGACCCTTTTTATACCAAAAATTTGTTATGTGAGGTAAATTTACTCTTATGTGATCGATGTGGTGGAAGTTTACAGTCAGCTGCTTTGTGCAATGAGTCGTGGGAATGACACACACCGAAATATAGTCTCCTGTGTGGATCTGTGCTCCTCGCTCATTGTCTGCAGTACGTGTTTCTGTAGCTGCCATCCTCATTATAATAGTGCCCTGTGTTTGTGTGCACTGTCTGCTGTTGGTGAGTTGTCTTGTAAAAGTCGTAGAAATGGGTCCGGGGGTCAGTACAGTCAAGGTCTTGAAACATATCCCCATTTGTTACATTCTAAAATGGGTTCCCTTTATACGAATTCAAGTTATGCATCATTTTCCAGGAACGCACATACAGCATAAAGCGAGGGAAAACTGTACGAGCATACTACTGGTCACAGCTAACTGCTTAGCTTAATCACCAAATCAGCACAGTAGTTTTAAAGGTCCCAAACCCACTTAAGAGTGAGAGCAGTGTCAAAGTGTTGCTCTACACTAGAGTATCATGTGTGCAAAGTAAGTGCTCAACACTATGAAGGCCTCATTTACAAGAAGTGGGGGGAAAAAAAAAAAAAAAATCAAAATCAAACCAAATAATCTCCTGGTTGAAACAGATGAATGACCCTCTCAGGAACTAAATTTCATCTCTGTGTCTGCTATGCTGTTCCTATGTGGTGCCGAGAAAGTCACTTAAACAAAAGTGGTCACAGTTGACCACTAATTATAAACTCCTCATTTTTTTGGGTTACCCAGGTTAACACAGCTGGAGCTAGATTTGCAAAAATGCTCATAACTACGCTGAAATCAAATGGTAGTTGGATGCTGAACATATGAAGTACTATAAAAGTGTGAAGTATGCTAAAAACTCTTGGTGCTCTGGTGAAGTGCCCGATGATTGGAAGGCCAATGTGGTGCCTATCTTCAAGAAAGGGAGGAAAGTGGATCCGGCAAACTACAGGCCCATGAGCCTGACCTCTATCCCGGGGAAGATCCTAGAAAAGATTGTCAAAGAGACCATTCTCAACAGACTGGCTGATGGCAAAATCCTGAGGGATAGCCAGCACGGGTTTGTCGCGGGTAGGTCTTGCTTGACCAATCTTATTTCCTTTTACAACCAGGTGACCTATCACCTGGACAAGGGGGAAGTGATTGATGTCATATATCTTGACTTCAATAAAACCAGAGGGTGGTGGTTGACAGAAGTCAATCATCATGGTGCGCTGTGACCAGTGGGGTCCCTCAAGGCTCTGTCCTTGGGCCTATATTATTCAACATCTTCATTAATGACGTGCACATTGGCATCATAAATGGACTGGCCAAGTTCGCCAACAACACCAAACTTTGGGGTAAAGCATGAGGACAGGAGGGCGATCCAGGCTGACCTTGACAGGCTCAGGAAATGGGCGGATGAAAACATGATGGTGTTTACCACTGAAAAATGCAAGCTTCTCCACCTTGGGAGAAAAACCTGCAGCATGCTTATAGGCTTGGCAGTGGACGAAAGGGACTTGGGGGTCATGATTGACCACAAGATGAACATGAGCCTTCAATGTGATGCTGCGGTTAGTAAAGCGAGCAAAATGCTGGCTTTCATCCATAGATTCTTCTCATGCAAATCCCAGGACATCATTCTCCTGTTGTACTCGGCTTTGGTGAGGCCGCAGCTGGAGTACTGCGTCCAGTTTTGGGCTCCACAATTCAAAAAAGGATGTGGAGAAGCTTGAGAGGGTGCAGAGGAGAGCCACACGCATGATCAGAGGTCAGGAAAACAGACCTTATGATGAGAGGTTGAGAGCTATGGGACTCTTCAGCCTGGAAAAGTGCAGGCTCAGGGGTGATATGGTGGCCGCCAAAAGTTTATCGGGGTGTTCACCAGGATCTGGGGGAACGTCTGTTCACCAGAGCGCCTTGAGGGAGGACAAGATCAAACAGTCGCAAACTCCTCCATGACCCTTTCAGGCTGGACATAAGGAAGAACTTCTTTACTGTCCAAGTCCCCAAGGTTTGGAATAGACTGCTATCGGAAGTGGTTCAAGCACCTACTTCGAACGCCTTCAAGACACATTTGGATATTTATCTTGCTGGGATCCTATGACCCCTGCTGACTTCCTGCCCCTGGGGCAGAGGGCTGGACTTGAAGATCTTCCGAGGTCCCTTCCAGCCCTAATGTCTATGAATCTATGAAAAAATAGGCCCAAGGCATCTTGCGCAGGGCTCCCAAACTCAGTGGAATAATTTTGGGCTTTGACTCTCCTATGCCTTAGCTTCTGACCTGTGAAACAGGGATACTACCACTCTGCTTCAAAATACATTATGAAGATGAATTCAGTGTTTGCAAAACAATCATACTACAGTGACAATACCAGAGAAAACCTGGGTATTTAGTGCAGGGTTTAAATAGTGTTTAAATTAGGCTTGGGGACACACAGAGAATGACAAGGATAAACAAAATAATACCTACCCAGCCAATTAACAGTATCTCGATCTTGTGTACTGTACAAGGAAGAGGTCTCAGGGAAAAGCAATATGTGATTACATATTTACAGACCATTACAGTGCATTCACAAGGGTGCCGAGATGAATGTGATTTAAACCTAATACTGTATTATATGAGACGACAAATTAAGACAAGTTTCAAAGCCATGAGCTCTGCTTTGCAAAGAATTCTTCTTGCTCTCCCTGTCCACAGACAACTAAGTTCAGCCTCTTCACCTACATGCTGAATATATGCCACAGACATAACAGCAATTCATTACTGGCAGCAACAAAACATCCTTGTGAAAATCTTGTAACAGTCACATATACATGCAAACATGTTCAACAAATTCTGATGCTCAATGGAACAATGAATTAGAAATCATTAAAAAGAGGCAACTTCTTGCATGCAATTACTGACACCCTGTGGATAGCTGAAGTATAAACACAGAGATTCAGCTGTTTCATTACAGTCTTTTTAAAATCAGTTAACCACAAGTAAAGATATATGTTCTTAAAGGTAGATTTAGTGAGAAATCATGTCAGAAATAAAAAAATTGAGGAAAACGATATTTTCTGAAGTTACATACTTGTACTTTAAATATTTTTTTGTTGCTAAGTAGTGATAGAATCAAGTTGTAGCTGTGATGATCCAGGACTTGCGCAAGAGGCAACGATTTTTTTGGGGGTGATATCTTTTATTGGACTAACTACATTATTGGAATAAAGGTAGACAAGCTTTCAAATGTTCTGTTAGGCACTGAATTATAAGCCTGAAAATGATGCAATAAAGATAGCACTTTTTATCCAGCCAAACTGATTCCTGAGTATATTGAATCATATCTGATCACCCAAGTTACAAAATTCAATTTTACTACATATGCAGGACCTGAATAACTATAAAAGAAGGTGCTGGATTCTGAGCTTGCTCAAATATAACTGAACAGACAATTCTGTTGACAGTCAGTTATAGTTAGGGCTCTCAGTCCCAAAGGGCTGCACAGACATAAGCAAGAACAGAATTCACCTTGGGAAGTCTCTGACTAGAGATAATGTTCAAGTGCAAAAGCAAAATTTGGCTTTCAAATTTCAGGTTGGAGTGCTGGCACATGGTTACTTGGCGGGGGGGAGGTTTACAAAAGCAGGGGAAAAAAGTCTAAGGACTACCAAAAATCCTTTTTTTTTTTTTTTTTTTTAAAGTAACTTCTCATATTTGAGCCACCATGGTAATTTTCAGTTTCTTTCACTTTACAAAGAAAAGTCTCAAGTGTTTTTACCAAGATGGTTTCCCATCTCTGCTTCTAGTCTTCAAAATGCCAGAACAAGTAAATGTTCATTTCATCACCAGCCCTTCCATCAACCCACTATTTTCACTGTGCCTAAAGATTGTTTTAAATTTCATTACTACTCAGACTGGTGCAGGAGATGCAATTTTTAGGTACTTACTATATTTTCATGCATATAACATGCCCCTATTTTTGAAAGGCCCTAAGAAGGGAGGGGGAGAGAGGGAATCATACCTTGGATGTCAGGTCTCTGGGGCACGGGGCTGCTTGCTTGGGCCTGACAATAGCACGCTGCACTGTGCCCACGCAGCAGGGTCCAATCCAACACACTGAGGCAGCGCAATCCAGCAAGACCCAATTCAGAGTGCCAGCACCCAATCCAATATGTTGCACTGGGGCAGCACTGCTGAGCACTGGTTCCAGGGCTGCATTCTGAGTCCAAGACTGCACACTGGCTCTGGAGCCATGTGCCGGGTCTAGGACCATGTGCTGTGTCAGACCCTCTGTACCAAGTCTGTCCAAGGACCAATCCCATGCACTATCCTGATCCAGTGCACAGCTGAGGAGGGGAACTCCCCATAGGTCCACAAATTAGGTGGGGGAGAAGTTCCTAGAGCTGTGGCAATGAATGCTGTCATCACCTCAACAACCCCCACCCCGGCCACACACACATTTCTGGACCCAGGGGGAGCCCTTTTCCTTGCATAAGATATACGCTCAGATTTTCCCAATAAGTTTTGGAGGAAAAGGTGTGGGTTATAGGTAAGAAAATATGATATTGGGGGGGGGGGTGTTAAATATGAGGCAATCAGATGCACAAACCAATGTAATGGCTTATTTCCTGCTATAAAATTTCAACTATAACCTGCTGAAAGGTTTTATACATGCTACAGTCACCAAAAGCCATCCTGAGGAAAACTGCTATATGCCAGTCTTCCACCCTTGTGGACTGAAAGGTGTTTCTTGGAAGGTACGATTAGGAACCTACTAAAACTGCGATTGCGCAATTTTTGCAGAAACTGAGATTTCGGGTGGGCTCTGGATAAATAAATAAATAAAACTTACCAAAAATACAGCGTTGGTTCCCTTTGGGCCCAGCTGCACATCCCACTGGGGAGAGGGGGCTGTCGGCACAGCAAGATGGCTGCACTTCCACTCCTTGCTACTTATTGGTTTTGAGGGCGGTCTGTCATACAGCCCTGCTCCTCTCCACCCATCAGTAGGGGGTGGGGGGAAGCAGCTGCACGACAGACAGCCATTGCAGCCAATCAGCAGTGAGGGGCAGGGCCACCAGGCCCCTCAGCCAATCAGATATGGGAGGGGGGACCCACCACATTCAGCCTGCAAAAGTGGCTACCAGCTTTGGTATGTGCCCATGAAATCAACTGGGTGCCACCTCAAGTTCGGTAGTCCGCTAGGTATCATATCTGAAGTGATTTACATACATTTGAAAAGCTAAAATGACTGTCTTGAGAAACACTGTTTGTTGGAGGTGGTTTAACTACTCTGTTAATCCCCCTAGCTACAGAACAGTACAGGTGCTGCTGGCTAGGAAAAATGCCCAAGCCCTCTTTCTTGACCTGAGCTGGGTGGGTAGCCAGCTGCATCTACAGAATCAACTGAGGACCCACTCACCTATTTCAGTAAAAGCCTCCGCTCAGGTGCTGGGGTAGAGGCTCCTGCTGA